TTTGGACACGTTCTCAGGAGGGATCAGTCCCCAGAAAAGGACATCATGCTTGGTAAAGTAGAGGGTCAGCGAAAAAGAGGAAGACCCTCAATGAGATGTATTGACCCAGTGGCTGCAACAGTGGGCTTCAGCATAACAACGATCGTGAGGATGGCACAGGACCGGGCAGTGTTTCGTTCTGTAGTACTTAGGGTCTCTATGAGTCAGAACCGACTCGCCGGCACCTAACAGCAACAACCTGATGACTTGCTAAATGTTCATTAAGAAATAGAGTCATCTGAATATTAATTGCCTTGTGATATTTACATCAGATATTTTAAAGATCAGTGAACTACTTCAGCAACTTGTTCCTAAGAAAATGAGATTTTGGCTTACAATGTGCACTATATAGTCCGATTGTTTGTCTGAACTAGGTGTTTAGCACATTTAGAAGGTTAGTTTTTGTTTCCCTGGAGAAATGGCAGAAAATGGAAATGAACTTTGGGGGCATACAATGGCATAAATGTTCAGCTGGGAGTGTGAATTTTTCCACTTAGAAATTCCACAGAGGCCAATAACACTCTCTTTTTTTTTTCCTCTCATAAGCCCTGGATATTTAAAAAATTCTTGTTACTAAGATGTCACTAACAAAGATTAGTCTATTCACCTTTGAGCTAAATCTCCTCCCCATTTCTGATTTGGAGGTAACCTAGACCCAAGTCAAGTTCAGATTCTTGAAAGATGGTTTTGCAGTGTAATATGACCCTTGACACTTTCTTCTTCAGTGGCTAGTTCTTGGATATTCAGAGGTGACAGGCTCAGTTAATTATTAACAGCAGCCCCAACTCTGCCTGTTATTTTATCTTCACTGTAAGGCTACTTTCATGCTGAAGGCTAGCCAGAGCATTAGCTAGGGGAAATTGATCTAGAAATTAACATTCCCTGATCTGGATGTGATGGAATTTTCTCTCTCTCTCCCCCTCCCTATTCTCCATCTAACTCACCCCTAGTATTCCATGGGATTTAGACAATCTTTGGTAAAATAAAGAGATGGAGACTTGGTTAGCATACTAACACATCAAAATTGTGGAGAGGATTGTTTGGAGATGGTCCACTCTTAACAAACTGTAAGATTCAAAGCCTTCTTTCAGAAATGCTCAGTAAGGAGTTGTCAACCCCCAGCTCTACCATGGTGCCAGGAGCCATGTTCAGAACTTCGAGCCTGGAGCTGAGACACCTTGCAGGGGCAAACCAAAAAAGCAAAACCGTTGCTGTCAATTCGATTCCAACTCATAGTGACCCTATAGGACAGAGTAGAACTGCCCCACTGGGTTTCCAAGGAGCAGCTGGTTGACTCAAACTGTCGATGTTTTGGTTAGCAGCCGGGCTCTTAACCAGTGTGCCACCAGGGCTCCCTTGCAGGCGCAGGGAATAAAAAAGACCAAGGAGACCATGGGGCCTGGGGAGGAGAGAAGAGGAAGGATCCAGAAAGGGAAAGAATTTCTGAAGTGGATGCTGTAAGGGGCCAAAAGAGACTCCGTGGAAAAGGTAAATAACCACCTTGAACCACTTTCTGGACTAGATGTATACTCATGATCAACAACTTGTAAATTGGTTTCATTTCCGATAATGGACTGCAACTGTGCATACATGCAGACATTGCAGGCGAAACTCTGAGGTTATACGTAAATACGGGAAAGTTCTAGCTTTGAGTACAGAAACTACAGTAAGGTCCACATTTTCTTTCTAGTGAAGCTCTGGATTCAATATCACAAAGCCATCATGTGAGTCCAAAATTACTTCCTTTTTTTTAAATCAGGTTTTGGAAACTCTGTTTTGTAGATAGTGAGGATACATAATCAGATTATGCACTAGTTAAATACTGTAAAAGATACCTCACCTTGGTTCTCTTTCTGGACTTGCCCATTAGCTTGGAAGTAGAAGTTTGACAGCTCTGGTTGACGCCATTTCTCAACCAATGTTGTTAAAACATAGTTCCTGAAATATGTCCATCAGGAAAACCATGTGTGTTTGTTAAAATGCATATTCCTCGGTCCTACATCAGACCGGGAGTATGCATTCTTGCTGATCGCACATACTCAGTAAATTTGAAAACATCTGCTAAAGCAGTGTTAATCAGGTTTACCTCACGTTCACCCACTTTCTCTCTTTCATTTCCCATCTCTCATTACAATCACCATTATATTTAAAGAGGCCAGTAACACTCTTCTTTTTTTCCCCTCATAAGCCATGGATGTTTAAAACATTACAAATTTTTATGAATTTCTATATGATAGAAGTTGTGATTCTCATATTTGCTATGATAGTCCTAACACTTATTCTGGAAGAGTTTCAGTGAGTATTTGCTGAAGTGGTTGAATTAAATTGAGAAGTAGACATACAGTCAGACACATAGAAGAGTTGTTTGCCTGAATCATGCTCCACTAGGGCAGCAAAAATTAAGTACCAACTGCTTCCTCAAAGTCAGTGCTTAGATACTCCCTTTGCTGAGGGAGGTGGTAGGAGAGGAATATGATATGAGTCCTTCTACTCCATTAGTTACAGGGTAGATTTCCCTTGCCCATCCTCCTTCTTTTTCTCCTATTATTTTGTAAAGGTCAAAGCTCCTTGATGCAATCATAACAGAAGAGTGTATTTGCTTTGGTCTTAGTCTTGCTCCTAAGGGAAACTTAAGTGCTGTGTGTTTTCCCAGGGAGATGCTGTCCCAGGACACTTTTCCCAAAGGACTGCAGCTCTGATTAGTCCATTTTTTTTCAATTTTTTTGGTTTTATTTCATTCCCACCCTTGCTAAATGTTAATAAAATACATGCCATAAAGAACTAAACCCCAGAGAACATAAAAGGACAGACTTCACGGCTATGTTCTCTGTTGGCAATGATTCTTCTCTTCGTTACTCTAATATTCCCTAGTATGAAGCTTGCTGTCCTTGACAGCTTTTTTGTTCACAAAAGAGCTGCGTACTAAAATGGGGTTTGTACTACTCCCCTCCCCCTCTGCAGAGCAACAAACCTTTAGTAAGAGGATTTTTCACCATCTGTCTAACTTTGTGTTTCTCCATCCCCCACTGTTATCAGGAATGCCTAAAAACATAGTTTTCTGCATTCTACAGCTGTGTGGGTTACGTGACTACTGCCGTCTAAAGGGGAAACATTCAGTGTTTGCTTCTGAACACTTTCCTTTGTCTTGTTTCCTTCCAATATGAACAATTTAGGATACATTCAAACCCAGAAACTTGAACTTGAGTTTGGCCAGTGAGGAGACAACTTGGGTTCTGGACTTTACCTTGATGACATATAATAAACCTTTATTGTTTTCTTACTGGGAATCTTTACATATCATCATCAGAGACCACAGAAGTGACGCTATCATTAAAGACAATTGGGGTTTCTTGTAACCCTTCTCGAGGGTCCTGGGCCTCTTGGTAAGGAAAGGTCCCCTGCTCAGCTTCCAGCTGCTGAATCTTCCTTTCTTTTTCCTCTAAAACTTCTTCCAGCTGAGTGATCTTCTCAGTCTGAAGGGAAACCTGAGTTGACAACTCCATAATCAGACTAATTTTTCTATCACCTTCTTCCACAGGTGGGAGACCTCCACAGGACTCTTCCAGTGAGTTGTCTTCTAAAGCAAACAAGAAAAAGAAAGCCTGAGCCATTTTAATTGGATTTCCCAGAACTCGAAGGGAGGAAATATGAAGTAAACTTGATTTCTCACGTTCTTAAAAGAAAACACAGATGTTACATCATCTGGTCAGTTATACTGAGAATGGAATCCGGGCCCAGTGAGGGGAAAGAGTCTGGGTGCTCAAGAAAAAGAACTTGGAGGCCTTTTGAGACAAGGGAAATCAGTCCTTGCCAACTCATTTAACTTTCAATTACCCATGGGAATAAGCGGAAATGGGCAGTTCTTGAAAATCTAATCTACAAACAGCCATCCCAAGTTTTATGCTACCTTTTCCTTAAGAATCACAAAACCTAAAATCAAGTAGAAATATACTTCAATTTGAATTTTAACTCCACCAAAAAAAAAAAAAAAAAGTTGTCATTATCCCTTCTGGGGAAGGTGATAATGAGAAAAGGCTAGTTTTTAAACCCAAGGCTGCTTTAGAGTTAGCAGGGGTGTAATTTGAGGTGATTGAAGAAAACTCTACTAACAAGCTATCTCCCACAGAGATTCATTTCTTTTAGATCTGAAGGCTTTTCAACATTTCTAAAGAAAATCGAAAATACCTCCTGGACATAAAAGCTTATCCTTTATCAATTTCTATCAGCTGATACCTCAGGTAAAGATAAAAGCTTGAGTAAGGAGGGAAAGCGAGGTTTTCAACAAAGAGATAAAAGATTAGTGGTTGGCAGCAGGGAGTCCTTGAAAATAAACCCCACTAGCCCATCAAAAAAATTTAGCTTCTAAAAGTAAACCCCGTCTCACTAGCCTTTAGCAGCACTACCCTCCTTACCACTCTAATCCTGAAATTTTCACCACAAAAGTCACTCCTCTTAGCTATACAGAAGACAGACTTCAGACAAAAAGGAAGACAAGAACTCGGATACCATTTTAGAAAGAACAGAGCCAACAGCATATGAATAAACCAGACACATGGTCTGGACAATTGATTGCTATATGGAAGGTCCAGCATTTACTCATTTGCTGAGGGATGCATAACTGTCAGTCCAGGATGCTATTATGTAATCAGTCCACCTAGACATCTGCTAGAGATGGGATAACTTTGTAGTAGGAGACCATACAGGCAAGAAAGCCTCCATTTCTCAGCAAGTAAAACTAATTTGCTGTCATCACTTTTCCCAAGGGAATCACGTGAACAAAAACCCTGAGTACTACATGGCACGGTGGACTGGTTGCTTTTAGCTTCACAAAACTGCTGAGAGGCGGGATCAGGCTATTCTCTGCTCTTGGAAGTTGTTTTCAGCAATTTACTAAATTTTAAGACTCCATGGAGGAAATTTTTGTTCTGAGTATTTGCAATTCTAGCAATAACATTTAACTTCAAAAGCTCATTTAGTTTGTTGCCTCTGTAGTAGCCCTGTGCTTTCAGGCCCAGGAGACGGCGTCCTTATGATCAAAGGCCCTCATCATCTGCTTTTATCTGGTCAGAGCTGCGCTGTCCAACATGGCAGCCACTAGCCACCTATAACCATTAACCAGTGGCCATTCAGCAATGGAAATATGGCGAGTCTGAATTGAGATGTACTGTAAGTGTAAAATACACACCATATTTGAAAGACCTAGTCTGAAACAAGGAATGTGAAATATCTCATTAAGTTTTTTTTTATATCAATCACATGTTAAAATGATAATGTTTTGTTAAATAAAATATGTTAAAATATATTTTATAAATTAACTTCACTTATTTCTTTTCACTTTTAGGAAATTCTGGCTACTAGAAAATTTAAAATATCATGTGTGACTTGCGTTTGTGGCTCTCATTGTGTTTCTATTGGATAGTGCTGGGCTAGAGTTTCCTTTCTGAAGAATACTCTCTTGATTCAAGTGGGGTTTGTTGCCTTTGGAGTCCCGCGGTGTTACAAACGGATAAAGCACTTGGCTGGTAACAGAAAGGTTGGAGGTTGGAGCCCATCCATAGGCACCTTAGAAGAAAATCCTGGTGATCTGCTTCTGAAAAATCAACCGTTAAAAACCCTACGGACAATAGTAATAACAACCAAAAAAGATGTGTGTGGTTACACAGGTAGATATGTATGCACGTATGTGTATAGGAAGGCACATGTGAGTATATGGGTGTGTATGGATTGGTGTATTTGTAGGCATATGTATATACATGTTTGTGTGTACTACATATATATTCACACATATAATAAAGCACATAGGGGCACAGTTATGAATACTTCCTAGATATAACCAAATACCTTTTGGGATTGGTTTAGTGCGTTTGAAGGCTTAGGGTCATAGTCTAGTGGCCCACTTGGTCACTTGGTCATAACGATAATGTTCTACATCCTAGTTTGGTAAGTAGTATCTGGGGTCTTAAAAGCTTGTGAGTGACCATCTAAGATACAACTATCAGTCTGTTCTCATCTGGAGCAAAAGAAAAAGAAGGAAACCAAAGACTCAGAGAAGAAACCAGTCTACAGGATTAATAGCCCACACGAACCCCAGCCTTACCTATCCTGAGACCAGAAGATGGTGCCTGGCTACTATTACTGACTGTTCTGACCTGGGATGCAATAGATGACCCTGGATAGAATGGGAGAAAAATGTAGAATAAAACTCAAATTCCTAAAAAAGGCCAGACTTACTGGACTGGTAGAGACTAGAGGAACTGCTAGGACTATTGCCCTAGGATACCCTTTAAACTTGGAACTGAAGCCACTCCCAGAGGTCACCTTTCAGCCAAATAATAGATTGGCTCATAAAGTAAACAATATCACCCTTGAGTACTGTGCTTCTGTAAATAATTGTCTATATGAGACCGAACGTCAACATTTACCCTAAGGCAAAGATGAGACGTTTAGGGGCGGGGGGTGGCAGAGAAGCTAGATTAATGGAAACAGAACAAGCAGGATGGAAATAATGAGAATGCTGACACATTGTGAAAAATGTAACCAATGTCACTGAACAATATGTATAGAAATTGTTAAATGGGAACGTAATTTGCTGTGTAAACTTTCACCAAAAACACAATGAAATCTTATTAAAAAAAAACAAAAACCCTATGGAGCACAGTTCTACTCTGACACACAGGGGGGTCGCCATGAGTTGCAGTCAACTTGACAGCAACTGGTTGTTGTTTGTAGATGGTTGTAATTAACCTGAACGGATGTTATTTGGGAAGATTGTTGGTCCTCACCCATTAACACACAGATCACTTTTATGCTACTCTAGAAGACAGAGGCATAGAAAGCCTGGGCTTGGAAGAATGGGTTACCATGAGTTGACACGAAATTCAACATGAGGGGAAGGAAAAGACTGTGAAGTGGCAGCAGGGTGCAGTGGCAAGATGCTGAGGAAAGGAACAGTAGGCAGGATGGGGAAGGCTCGCCTCTCTGATGAGAATGGGTGCCTCAGGGACCTCTCTCCTAACACGTGCCTGTCTGTCATCTTCTCCTTTCTCTTTGACTTCGGTTTTCTCTTCTTCCTAGAGAAGTTATTCTCTACCAATTTACACAATGAGGGTTTATTGCAGCTCTGAAAGGCATTTAGGAAGAACTGGGTCAAAACATTTTTGGTCTTTTTTTTGGTTGTTGTTCTTTTATTTATTTTTCTAAAAATAATGCAATATAAGAGGAACACTTTATTCACCTATTTCTAATGATAAAGGGATGAAAACACAACAAGGCAGCATTACATAGGCAATCATAGTCTCTAGGCCTACATTCTCCTCTGTCTCTGGCCTCTCCAAGAGAGTACGGAGGAAGAAAATAGAAAGAAAAAGAGACCTGGAGAAGCAGGGAGAAGACAATTGGAAAAGGAGTAGACAAGGAACATGTAGCTGAATTAGGAACGATGTCAGGAGCCCTTTGATTCCTGTTATATTGTTTTCATGTAATGAGTGAAAATGCTGATAAGGAGACAAGCTAAAGAGTATGTACACCAAAGAGGAAATTTCTCATACAAATATATTTTACTATTAAATGATCTATTTACACATAACAAAAATATTTTTTATTCCATCGCTAAACACATTACAAATAACATAAGGGTTTTAGCTCCTCAACAAAGTGGTGGACTACAAGAGTTGCCCATCATATTTGGATTAGAAACAGCCCAAGGCCACCCCAGTGAGCTTTCCTGACTCCTCCACTACCTACTACGTGGCCCGGCCTGCGCTACTCTTCCCTTGCCCTAGTGCTCTCATCTGTAACAGGAGGGTGTGAGTCCCTAAGGTCCTACAGCTCTACATGTTCCAGAGTGCAAACACTCATCTCTAAGGCTTTCTCTGGCAGCTCAGATAGTCTTGCCAAGGCCATGGCTGCCCGAAGCGCAAAGTTTCTGTATCTAACCAGGCCATCTCAGGTTAATTCCATGCTTTGATGCTTCAGGAGACACAGCTCTGTGCTTGGGTCAGTTGAGAGGAGCAACAAGAAAGGCTTTTCGGTCTGTGAGAAAGGAGGTAAAGGTGGTTAGCCACAGTCAGGGTATAAACGCATCACACGTACTGCTCTCATGAGGTGTTTTTATAAGCACATGTCATTTTCCATAATTTTCCCTCCACCACTTAAAATAGGTGTGAAGCAGGAGTGAGAAGGAAGGTTTAGAGCATTGGCAAAGAGGGAACAGGAGAGGGATGTTGGTAGTTGGGGAGGTATAGAAAGAGAAGAGACTACATGAGCATTCTGCCTGCAGCTGGGCCAGGCTCCATTTACTTTTACCTTGAAAGACCAAAGGCCCAGGAGAAATGGTGAGATTGGTCTTTGACCATTTCCAGTTTCCCATTCTTCCTACCTTCAGAACCTTCATGCTCTTAGCAAAGTGCCATGTGAGAGTAATGTCAAAAACGACTAATACTAACTATGTAATAATAGCAGAAGTAATTATAGTTTAAAAAGCAGCTCAGAGATTTAGAATTGGAATGAATCTTGGGAGCTATCTGGTCTACCTGGCACCCAGTATAGGAATTATTTCTGCCACAACCCTAACTGATG